GCTCCATCAATTATGTACTATTATTGAGACAACACGTAAAAGATTATTGTGTGCAAAAGGCCAAGAGAGAGAAACCAGTTTCCACCTTTCCCGATTGATCAGAGTTACAGATTGGTTCGTGATTAAAGGATCTAGACATTGGATTTAATCTCAACAAGATTTGATATCATGAATTGAGGTATGTATATCTAACTATATTTATTTATGCATTATAAGAATGTGAAATTAATTGAAGTTCTAAGATCTAGGAATTTATGATAATTTGTGATTAATGTTTAACACAAATTAATTAGAGTTTACAATTTTAGGTCAAGATTTTATTTTTGAACACATAGGCTGGCCATTGGAAGGTTGAAACTATATAACAATAAACTTATGTATATATTGAGAAATACAAGTTTCTTCTCACTTAAAATGTTTGTAATTAATAATTACTATATCATCACAATTTGAAAATATCTTTAATTTAAAATTTAATGATATGTCATATTATTTTAATTCCATGTAACAAATTTATCAAAGTGTCAATTTGAGTGTTTTTGGCTTAATCTGCCAAAAAAATAAAAATAAATTAATTAATTAGTAGTAAAACCAACATACAGTTTTCTTTTATATAAAATATCTAAATTAAAACTCTTAAGCAAATAGTTAACAATTAGAATAATATTTTAAAAAGAAATTGAAAAGAAATAAACAAATATTAAATCATTCTAGTTTCCTAACTATGACTGTTTTCTAATCGGAGTGAACATTGTAAGCATTAAACTTGTATATAAAAAAATAAAGAATCATCCTTGTACAACCAACTGAGATCAGTTTCCCTTGTCTATTTCTCTGTTGGTACGGTATTAAGGACTCAAGCATCTTTTTGAAGGGCTTCAAAACAAGCCAAATCTAACACAAGTAAAAGAAATTGAAAAGAAAAATAAAAACTATAATTTAGAAAATCAATACTTATGAAATATTACATCCTTAAATTTGGTCAGCACTTGTTAGATGTTACGAGATATTTAAACTCTATTTTTCAGTTGACGGAACTGACATATCCTAGATATTTTGTGAAAAAAAAGGATAAAAAGAAATTGCTCTCGATCTCTATTCACATTGAACTATGTTCCATCTTGTCTGGTCATTCATTACCGAAGTAAGAAAAGTATTTAATAGATGGAAAGGGGCAAAAGGAACATAGAAGTCTAAAAATGGAAAGGGGCAAAAGGAACATAGAAGTCTAAAATACTTGTCTAACACGCTCTTTGCAATGTTATGCGTGGGAAAACCCAGGCTATTGAAATATTTTTCTGACAGGGAAAGCAAGTAGAAGGAGAGAAAAACCTTGAAACCAAGGAGTTTTAGAAACGTCTATTGAATGACTCTCGGTATTTATAGATGCATGTAATGAAAAAGTGTCTTAGTAAATAGGTGTGAATTTATAAGGTGTAATCATATAATTTTACTCATTTATGTGCTTCGACTTGCCAACACCTCTATGACACAACTCTTCATAAATTTATTTAAAATACCAATAATAATAATAATAATAATAATTGAATGGGTGTTTCATTTGGACATAACTCTTGAAAAATAGAAGAAAAGTTTCATTTCTACGCAACTCTTGAAAAAGAATAGAAAAATAATAATAATATATAATAATAATGTCTCAAAAGAATCAACAAATTAAAAAAAAAAAAAAAGTGAAGAGAGGCCTTTAAAAATTCTTACAAAAATTTGAACATCGATTCAACAATAATTAGACACTTGACAAACTTTGTGATATGTCTTTAACAAAAATTGCAATAACTTTTGTCTGGAGTCTTTCTTTTTTTTTAAAAAAAAAAAAAAAAAAAGGTGTTAGTAGTTAAATAGACACCTTTTCAAGAATTTAAAGAGGTGTTAATGTTTGATTCTAACTCTAATTCTTAATTAAAATATGGATAATGTCGCAGAAAATAATACACAAAAAAATCAAATGACTCCTGTATATAATAACTTTAACTAACAATCGCTCTGTCATGTCTGTGTCTTAATTTGCTTCATCTTTATTGAAGCACAATACTATTGGCAGTGTTGTCAACTTAGAGGAGAGAAGAATTGTAACCTATATATATATTTATTTAAGAAGTATAGTGTACTTATGATGTTGGCCTGAAAATAAAAAATAAAAATTTGCAGAGAAGAAGATAACATGAAAGATTTTTTTATTTTTTATTTTCTGAGATCATATGACTCGTAGGTATATATAAGAACAGACAACCCTTTACAATAGGCGTCTCTTTTAAATATAAAAGTAGAAAAGCATCTTAACTGCTGATGCCAAGTTACCAATTTTTTTAAGGTATGGTATATAATTAAAGTTGCTTTTAATAAAAGGTGTCTAAAATAAATAAAAAACACAATACGACTTTACAAGAAATTTGAATTAGTCATAACTTTTCTAAAATACGTTTGAAAAAGGATAATAATAAAATTCAAATATTTTTTAAAATAAGTTTCTTTGAGTGTTTTTAATCTAATTGTAATAAAATTCAAAAGATTTTTTTTTTTCTTTAATAGATTTGAATGTATGTTGTTTTTCATTGAAAAGTTACATATTAATGTTTTCATAAACCACAGAACATTTCAACAAGGCTTTGAAGACTATATTCTGAAAATTTGTTTCTAGCATGTTTATTCTGTCATATTTTGTTTCATGTGTGCTTTATTGTTTCTGTTTTGAAACTCTGTTCCATTTAGTTATTTAATTTGACTTAAATTTTGAATAAAATAATATTTGTTTTGGAGTAAATTACTTTTAAATTAATTTTAAATTTTATGTCTCTAATTTTATTAATTAGAGTTAGGGATAGGAATGAAAAATAGTAGAAAGTCACCTCTGTTAAAACTGTTTTCATTTTGAATAAGTAATAGTAATAATACTCATTTAAAATTTCGTTACAGCTGAATTAAAAACACTGAAAAGCCAGAAAGGCATGGAACTATGGGAATCCTTTACCACTAACTCACTCAGTAGCATCAATATCAATTTCATATCTCCTTTTGAAAGGAAAGCCTTACCAAGCTTCTGTTATAAGAACGGGCACGAAATTGATCCATATAGATTTTACATACTTCTCTTTACTCTCGCCGTTTATTTGCTCGTTCTCTCTAATCATATTCAATTATGATCTTGTTCATCCCTTCCCAAACACTTTCCTAACTTTCGAACTTATCTATAAAGCTTTGATATATCAAAAAAGTGATGTCTCTTTTAATCAAGGTCAAATGAGTTCCAACCCAAAGGATATAACTTTTACAATTACATTATAACGGTGTTTTAGTTTTACTAAATCACATATATAGAAGACACGACGTTTCAAGCATTGTATTAAAGGGTTAAAAATTTTAAATCAAAATTTTAAGACTCGGACTAAAAAATAATATATACATGATAGATGCGGTAGATGATTACCGTCATAGTTTTAATAGAATATTCTAATTACTGCTTCCAAAATAATTATTAGTTTTTTTAAAAAAAATTCTAAATAAAAAATGTAAAAAGACTTGGATGTTAAATTTGGCTCGATCTATGCAAAACAAGAAACAATGTTGACAAACAAAGAACTATTAACTCTCAATAGTACAGCCTAAAACAGATGTAATTATAGGCTAAAAGTAAAAAACAAAAGTGGTATGGCTTGTTAATCAAAAAGGTTGGAAAATAGTTGGTATAGAATTCAAATTAAAACTTAGCTTCAAAAAACAAACTAGTATTGATTAAATTTGTACAGAAATTCAAATTGAAACATACCTTAAATAAAAATAAAGCTTGAGTCATGTGCTTCAACCAAATATGAATTTTCTTGAAAATATTTGAAGTTGTGTTAGAACATAGAAGAAAAATATTTCCAACAATTTTTGCACAGGGAAATTTTTTGTAAGAAGGGATATATATAGAAAAGGGTCAGGGAGATAGAATGACAGAGCCGAATAGATGTAAAAAAATAAATAAATAAATAAAGAAGTTGTATCGATTTGATGTTTAATTGAGAGAAGACAAGAACTCTTTGCGAGAAAAAAAAGAAAGGAAAGTAAAAAATGAAAAAAGAAAAATGACGTTAATAAAGAGAAATATGACAACTCTTCGAAAACAGTAACGTCGGTATAACATTTTTGTAATTTAAAGAAATTATTTATAAGTGTATATAAATAATCTAAATTGAATACAATTTTATAGGGTATATAGATATAAATATAGATATATACTTAAATAAACATAAACTTACTTTTAATTCTTGAAATCAATTATTTCTTAAACAATATAAAATAGGAAGAAAAAAAGTAAAATGAATTTAATAATTCATTAATCGTACATGAATACGCTTCATATAATAAACATTGTGGAAATTTGTTGGCTTGTTTAAATATTTATTTTTATTACAATTTAAATAACTTGTTAAAAAATTTAACATTTTGTTAATTTTAGTTGCAATTAAAACTATGTATTTTTTGTCATTATTATTTTATAATTGATATCAATTATATAGAGGTAAAGGATATGGTTAGTATTTTAATAAGCAAATAACATTTGGTTAAAAAATTTGTTAATAGAATAGTAAACTTTGTTAGAAAGATTTGTTAAATTAGGATTGTATGATCCTTATAAAAACAATTTAGGACTTGTCTTTAAAACTAAAAAGTAGGACTTACTAGTAATTTCTCTAAATATTATTGCTAAATTATGAATTGTCACCTTTTCTAAATTTTGGTTAAATACATTGAAAATATTGGTTATTTTTTTGTAATTATTTTCGGTTAATAATTTTCAGTTTACCTAGAAGGGAAAATTAACTAAACTATCATTGGTTTCTAATTTTGAAAAAAATTATATAATCGAATCCAATTAAAGGTAATCATGAGTACATGAATTATAAATGCATACAAGCTAGGTATACACTTGGGACCATCCAACAAGCAATCACATAGAGCTTCACTTCCATCAACAATATTAGTGGGCATTAACCATCTAACAAAAAATCACATGGAGCTTCATTTGAATCAACAACATTAGTGGAAGTGAATAGCAACTCCGGCATCCATGTACACTCACTCAAACTCAAAACGGTTGGAAAACAAACTCCAATCGGATTCAGCATTCAGGTGGAGAAAAATAATATAACTAAAATTAAACATTACAAATAGACCCTCCTCCATTCATCCTACATTATTATCTATTCCCTTGCTTACAATATGGGGGGTGTTCGGTACATGATCATCCAAGGCAACAATACAACCCTTCTATATGAGGGAGAGAGAGAGAGAGAGAGAGAGAGAGAGAGAGTTTTATTTCATGCAAACAGCAATCCCACCATGTCGACTCCTATCTATACAGGCAGCAACGGCAGCATCAATTCATCTGTACTCTTTACTTCCATACAGACTGCTGCCGATTATCATTGGGCTCCTTCAGAATGAAATGCAAGTGAGAAAGACCAAACTAGTTACCAGCATTATCTCCCCATACATTGTCCCATGCACCACTAGGAGCAGCCTTAGGTCCTTCAATGAAGTTTTGACCCCCATGGGGGTTGTGAGGGCCTGGAAGTCCGTTGGGTCCAGGAGGATGTATTTTGTTAGGCTTTTTTTTTATGCCAAGCAGCCTGAACACAAATCTGGCCAGCTCTCCATACAATAATCCTGATCGATCAAACAACTGCAAATGATAATGAAACATCTCGGTCAGGTTCATACTGTACAACATTACAGCAAAATCTGACTCACTGAGTTGTTAAATTTCAACGATTACAGGGCCAGTTCTTTAATTTCATCCAGTAATAAACTAAATCAGGAGATAGAAGTACATGAGACCTGAAGAAGTGCAGTCATGAACAAGTGAAATGCCTGGGTATTCTGGTCTATTAGGATTGCAATCCGGCCAAAAAAGGTTACTACACCTTGCATCTGCCAACGTCATAGAACCCAAAAATAAACTTGTCAAAAAGAAAAAATATATTTAGAAACAATAAATAACACAACGGCACAATGTAAAGGCACCAATTACAGCGTAGTAAAAACAAATAAAATAACACGGCACAAAATTCCGGGTACAATGGTCAATATTTACCTGAAGGATGAATAACTTCCAGTTAGAAGTCGAGGAATTTTGGGTGAATTACATTTGCAACCCCTAAGGTTAGACCTAATTACACACGGGTTCAAAAGTGGCCTTAATTACATTTACCTTCCTGCTATAATACCAAACTCTCTCTCTCTCTCTCTTTTATTTTTTTTAACATTCCAGTCTTCATAGATTCAAAGCTATCGAAATGGATAGTTCTTAAACTTCGAATGCTAAGAAAACATTTTACAGTTTGTGTTTTTGGTAGACTAAGCAAAGAAAGAGAGGGAAAAGATGCAGTGAGAGCGCACTTGCAAGCCATGAAATTATAGAGAGTGAATTCAATTTAATAGAATTTTAAGGGTGCTTACGTTGTTAGATGAAATGTATAGAAGCCATTTTGTATGAACTTGATCGAATCACCCTTGGAGTTGTAGCAAAGTTGTGTTCTGCGAAGTTAGGGTTTCCATTGTTGTTCCTACCCATCCATACAAAAAGGGATAATAAGAGAGAGATTTTATTGTATACATGCGCATCGAACCCAAAACAGGTAACCCAAAATCTCTTTGTTGCTCTCCCACAAACCTGTTCAACCCATTAAAAAACGACATCTGTATTGGTTTCATCAATCTGACCCATAATTTTGCTCTCACTTTTCACAATGCTTATGACCAGAGAGCTCAAGTCTGCTTGCGCTCAAAGTATCTGCGCTTTACGATGCCGAGTCAACTCGGCCATTGGCGCTTGTGTGCTAGATTTTTGTGGGTTGTTAGCAGTGAGTTTGTACGACTCAATTGCAGATTGAAATACTTATGTTGTTTTGCTGGTTATGCCAACACAGTGAGGTCATAATATACGGGGTTTATTGGCTCATTTTGATTTTTCTATATTAACTAAGTGGGTTAGAATTATTTTAATAGATGACAGGCTTATTAACTCACTAAATTCAATACTTGGACCTCCTAGGTTGTCTATTTAAGTTTTGACGCTCTATATAGAGAGAGAGAGAGAGACAAAGACACAGAGAAACAGAGAGAAATGGTCTTTTTTTTTTTGGTTATTTGTAACAGTAGGGTTATTAACGTCTTTTCAGTAAAGGGTATATTGGTCCATATCATTTGGCTATTTTTTTTTTGATAAATGGTCCATATCATTTGGCTATTTACGTCTTTGAATCAAGGAGAACGGCAAATATGTCATAACATCAAAAAATTCTGACAATTATAACAGCTTGTTGACGGGAAGGGGGTCGTTGAGCCCGTGCACCTAAGGGGTAAACTGCGTAATTAGGCATATTTTCAGCCACCATGTGTAATTAGGCCATAAACATTAGCGGGTGTAAGTGTAATTTACCCAAGAATTTTTAGTGCCTTCTCTGGAGGACATAAGATTGGCAACCCACTCAACAGAACAGTGCCAAAAGTTCCCATGTTACTAAGTTCTCCCATTAATAAGTATAATACGCCCCAGAAGAATGCTCATATTGGTAAATGCAAAGTGGAAGATATATGCATATAAATTCTTGGAAGTGCTTATCATAAGACCTCTAAGACAAAACCATTTAACTTCTTCCACAACAGGTGCTAAATACTTGTAATAGGAGATAACAAACAGTTATGTCGAGAAAAAGTGCAGAGGCTTAGTGTCCACAAGACCACAATACCACAATACCCACATATCAACTACTAAACACACTGGTTGAAGAAGCAAACTACCCCACTACCCAAAAACAAGCAACAAAATGAACATGCTGTATCAATTTGCTAACCTGAATTATAGTCATCATTTTTGCTCTTTTTTCCTTTTCGTCCCAGGGAGGCAAGTGGTTGAGGTTTTATTTTGACAGGTAGCATGCTCTTACACACGTTCCACATTGGGTTTTGAACCCTCCACCTCCCTTTAGGGAAGGGAGGAGGAGGAAATAACACTCGAGCCAAGACTTTGGTGGTAAGTGATCCCTGAAGGAAACTTCCCCCCACCCCCCCCAAATAGAATTCCAAGATATTTTAATGCCTTCTATGGAGGACATAAGATTGTTACTAAGTTCCATAAATTACAAACATAATTTTCCCCAAAAGAATGCTCATATTGGTAAATGGCAAGTGGGAGATGTATAAAATGTAAATTCTACAAAGTGCTCATCTTAAGAATAAACCTTTTAACTTCTCCCAAAAACACTTACGCAAAGAAAACTGCATAGGTGTAGCATTCATAATACGTGCATATTGGATTGTACGAAGCCAAACTACCCAGAACACAAGAATCACAGAACTTGTTAACCCTAACCCCTTGTGTATTAAAAATATTTTCAGTTGTCTTTCTCCTTCAGCCCAACCAAGTGATAGGTCTCAACGCCATCCACCTACAGAACACCCTCAGTCCCTGCCGACCATATATCACGAGGACCCAAACCCAGCAATGCTAGCCACCATCCATATCACCATTATCCCGCAAACCAAATCAACTAGCATTGCCACCCAGGGCATCCACCTGATTAAATACAACTATGTCCTCGTAAACCAATTTCAGTAATTTACATTATTTTTGACAGAGAATTGAGGTTGGTTTCAATGACTTGGCCTACAGCCGTAGAATGAAGAGAGTCATCAAGAATGGGTGGGAATTTCAAACTGTTAACCCAATAGTCCCATATTCGAGTCAACTCAGCGACTAAATTTGACCCTGTCCATTGAATAACCATTAAATAAACCAATCCACTCACCTACCCCCACAAAGACACACACACAGGCCAAAAAAAAAAAAAAATCATGCGGATATGAATCAAACACCAAAGAGTTCTCCATCTTTTTTATTCAAGACCCTAGCCAGATTTTCAAGTATGTCATTTTGAAATCAATCATGAAAATTATTCGACAATTAGATAAAAGGAAAAATTACTAATTAATGGTTGCCATTGCATTTTGATAAATTGAAAACACATATTTTCCAACTCCTAAAGACTAAAAATCCATTTAAACATACAAATAGAAAGACCACCACAAACTATATTTATAAATATACATGTACATAGGTTATGGCTCCTTGAAATTATCGGGTTGAGTGGGACAAGTAAATGGTATTTAAGTGGAATGGATGGCAACTGGTGGCAATTTGATAGCATCGTAGCTCTTGGCTTAGGTGGAAATAGAGATTGTGTACACGGTTGGTGGAAAGGATGCTCGGGGAGGTGGTTGTATTAGAGAAGGATCATATTATTAAACTTGAGTTAGTGATTGAGGATATAAGTAGGATCTTTTATTCCAAGGTTGACTTGACTCCAGCAGTGAGATATTTTATGTTGGTTTAGTTCGAGTTTGATAAGGGTAAAATGTGTATTTTATAAAAATTACAAACTGGTGTGAGCTACTTCCATCATATTAGTAACAGTGTGTTTCAGGAGAAGGGGGGATCTGTTGTGTATACATAAAACAGAAGGGAAGCAGTATAATTTCAGGAAACTTAGGAAAGGTCTCCATAAGTATCAAATACCCAAAGGGAGGTCAGTGTGAAAGAGCAAGTAGAAACTTGTTAATCTTAAAAATACGTTTACGAAATGACAACCACTCATTAAGAAATAACAACTGCATTCATGGACTAAATCTAGGAACACGTGATCTTACACACCCCATAAAGGGCCAAGTAACTAAAACCACATTGTTTAATTGACAAACACTACTTTTGAAGAAAATACCACATCTTGACTGAATCTAAAGCTTTTGACCAGCACTGTAACTGGATAAAAACTTAAATAACTGACAATATGTGAACAATCTAAATGATTACCTTCTGTTCTATGGTGCATATAGAAAGTAACGAAAGCGGAAAAAAGGATTCGTCTTGACTTACCACACGCATTACGGAAATCCAAAAGCCCGGTGGAGAAGATGGAGCGCCATATGGATTATTTGGATCTTGATCACCATAGGGACCTCCCATGCCCATCCCATAACCACCCATTGGGCCACCAAGCCCACCACTGTACATTCCCCCACCATACATGCCAGAACCTCCATAAAGCCCGCCGGAACCTCCATAAAGCCCACCGGCCCCACCGTAACCTCCTCTGTACATGTTGTTCCCGTACAACCCCCCACCATAAGACCCTCCTAATCCACCATAGGAGCCACCCATTGCCGAACCATAACCAGAATTGTAATTAAAACCAGAATTCAAACCAGAACCATAGCCTGCATGTACAAAAAACAATAATCAGGTGGAAAGCTTGCACCAAAGCCCGTGAACTAGACCTGTCCATGGATCGGAACCGATTAGCCGGATATGGATTGAAAAAAAAAAAATCCGATAATGATCCGAATCCGACAATCCGTTACCTTAACAAATCGGATATGGATTATAGGTAATCTGATCCGATTAAAATTTTATACATATATATATATTATTACATTACAATATACTATATATGAATGTTTTATATATTAGTTATCTACTGGTATTAAATTTATATATATTAATTATTTATCAATATATTCATTTGGTTTCATAGTTATATTATGCACCATCCTATATATTAACAATTCCCCACTCCATCTAACATTATAGCTATACATGTCATTTTAATCTTTGTAAAAATAAAATAAAAAATAATCCGAATCCGATTCGATTTGATTCGTATCTGAGCTAAATAGGATATAGATTGGAACATTCAATCTGATAACCCATTAACGATCCGAATCCGATAGTCTGTTAGCTTAACAAATCGGATATGGATTTGATTAATTAGATCCGAATCCGATCTGTTGACAGGCCTACCGTGAACTCACTGTAAATTTACCCTTAATTTTCCAAATACCACTAAAAGTATTCACTTTCTTTCACTTTTACTTTATTAACAGGCTGTCTGACACCCAATAAAGTAGATTACCTGAAAGAATGAAGAACATATTTAGTAACGCACAAGTAGCTACCACTTAAGCCTTAGAACACGCAAAAAAAGGATCCCAATTTAAGGTCATATAGACTTACTATGGAATGCTAAAAACATCTACTTGAAATGTGAAATTTCAATCTGAATGGACAAATTTAAATTTTCACAGTATTAATTCAGCACCAAAAAAATTTAGTACTAGAGCATTATATGCATTGGTGGATGCAGACTCACAAACAAGTTTAATAATCAAACACCACCTTGTTTCCATAAAAGGAACGTCCACGTTTTACCACAAGTGATGTTATGCATGGTGATGGCAAGGTAAATGCATTAAATCACACTCAATACCAGTCCAGTCTGCAAGATCTTAAGTGTTAACAAGTTCAAATTTTAAATTAAACCAGCTGTTGAATGCTGGTAAAATTACATTAACAACAAGAGTCTACATCGTCTTTATGCACAATACACACAATTCAGTTTAATGGTCTGAACCATGTCATTCCTAGAAGCAAGCTGAAAAAAGAAGCTTCATCACTAGCCATTTAAGGGTCTCTTTTGCCATAAAATAATACCCAACAGAAGAAAAATAAGACAAAGCATAACAAATAATGATACACTATTCACATATGTTAGAGAATATCATTACAGGAGTGATTTAAGCCCTTGACAGAATATTTGATAGGAGTGATTAATGGGACTGATTTTGCGAATCCTCCATCAATATATTTCTCATGTTTATCACATGTTTGTATTCTTTCACCCATAAAGAAAGATGGTCATTGTAATCAAAATTAAGAGAGAACATAATGAAAGAGATGTAGCCCTTTGGACTTTGTGTGCCGTGGATGTAGACGGCCGAACCACGTTATATGTTGTTCTTGCTTAATTTCTCTCTTCACTCTTTCGTTTTTCAACAATATATAATGATATACCAAAAAAAAAAAAATTGCAGAAGGAACGCACAGCATCATGTATTGAAAATTTTAGTACAAAATGTTGGTGAAGTGTGGTGTATGTGACCGACTTGAAAAAGAAATGATGGTTTGGGGGAAAAAGAAATATGAACCACCAAAGGTAAAAATGCCCAAGATTTACATCCAAAAATTTGCAAATGAATCATATTAAAATTTAAGAACATTTACCTCCATAAGTGCTACCATAATTCTGCTGCTCCCAAGGCCTAGTGGGAACAGGCCTCCCAAGTGCATTCCTGTTTACAGTCGTATTCCTATCTGCATTTTGAACAATTTCACCAGGCTTTGCTGTTCCAGAAGCCTCAACTACATCACTAGTGCTACCAGAAGAAGGGGGTTTAAAAGGTGCAGGACCAGATGAGGAACCAGCTCGTTCCCAAGGTTTTGGAGGAGGGCTATTAGCTGCATGGCAAAAAATACCAAAAGCAGATGAAGGTAAAATGGGTTGCAACAATTTCAAAAAGAAAGTAGAGCATCTAGAAAATGGAACATTGACATAGAACTATATAAAAAAATAAAAAGGAAACTAACACCAGGGACAGAACACATAGTTTCTGAGCTGCTAAGCGCTACTAAAAATATGGGAAAAACTAGCATCAAGGACACGGTACAGGGAGTATCCATTCCCAAGTCTCTTCTAAAATGACAAATTAGATCATTAATATAGCCATCCTGTAGAAATATCTTGTTTCAAAAGTTTGTCCGAACATTCAAAAGAGACGATTTCAGCTGACTGGCATCAACCATTTGAATCCAAAACAAGGAACTTACTAAGACAATTGATACTATACAGCCATCTTCTTCTTTTTTATAAGTAATACTATTTACTAGGGGTGGCAAATTACGACACGACACAAGTTAAAAGGGTTTGGGTTTGGCATAAACGGGTTTGGGTCATAAAAGGGTCGACACGATTAACCCGTTTACTTAATCATGTCGGGTTAAGGTTGAGGGGTCCAACCCGTGTAATTCGTTTATGACCCATTTAACTTAACATGTTATAATCATGAATATGACCTAGTAATATGTTACCTGCTTAAATCCAATTATTATGGATAGTTAATTCATTTCAACATTAACCTTGTCTATGCCTTATGATTTTTCTTTTTATTTTGAATATTTTGGGTTAATTATGACAAATTTTTTCTATTATTTAATATTTGATTAAATATTAAATGTCTTGTTTTGATAAACAGGTCATTAAACGGGTTAACACGTTTACCTGTTTAATAAACGGATTAGGTTATTGTTGAGGATTTTGACATGATTATTAAATGGAATGGGTTTGGGTTTACCTATTTAGTATAACACCCTTATATCGACACGACACGAACACGACCCACGAACAGGAATTGCCACCCCTACTATATACCCATCAGAAATACGAAGGAAAATCTTTTGGGCTTCATAGAGTATGTTCTTCTATAAAGTATTAACATTATATTGTTCCTTTCCTAGATTTTTTGCTTGATGACAAAGAAGATCTATTAAATAACACAAACAAACTCTAGGCTTTACCAAAAAAGAAACCTATGTTTCTCTTAACATTCAACAACCAAGAAAAAAGAAAAATGGCTCTTGGTGTTTCCTAAAACGCATTGTAGTAATTTTCCAGAGGCATACATATTCTATTAAAATGCGGCAACAAACGACATTCCTTGTTAAACAAATTTTAATCAGCATATTAAAGCCACTCAATTTAGATATTGAGATTAGATACAAGTAAAGTTTCATGAAAAATAGAAACATGGATAATTAACCAAACTAACTCTTGAAAACATAAAAAGGGCAACCCTAGTACACGAGCCACCCACCACTGCAGGGTTTGGGGGTTTACAGCCTCTCCGCATGGGGGGTAAGGTTGCGAACGAGTTTGCCCTTAAGTAATGATCTAAATCTTGAAAAGACCTAGGACTTCAAGTACCTTATATTATAAAGACTACAGCGCAAAACTGGAATCGGTGATTTCGTTAGACCCATATAGCACAAAAGTCATTACAAAGCAAAACCATTAGGACTAGGCGCTTATCCTTATTAAATAGATACAAGTACAACTGTCAACCTCACCGTCAAGCAAAAGCCTTTTATACCGACCTGCCATTTAAAAAGACCTATCATTGAGCCCTCTAATCTAGCCTTGCCGCCTGTTATAGCAGAACAAAAATAAGCAAAACATCTAAGTACCTCAAAATCTATCCTGCCAACCATCTCCCTCAAGTAAGGATATTGGAAAAAAGTTTCATCCCACCATCTGCTAATGTCTAAAAATAATTAATATAATTAACTCTAAATTAATCTGCATTCTGTTTCGTCTTGAGTCAAAGTTTCATTCAAGTTCCAACTAAAGTTTACTTAAATTGTGGTTATCAAGTTAAGCTGGCCAGTTCCTTCAGTCAGTCCGATTTCTAACATCCCCTTCAACACTTGTAACTGGAATCAAATGAAATTTCAAAGACATAATCATTCAAATTCTTTACCTTCAATTTGTAAATTTCATCGAGTTAATCTGAACCCATCCGATCCTACAATACCCAATTTCGCCATCCAATACCGAGACTAACAAACTTGCCAAATATAATGATGAATAAGCCAAAAGCATTCAACATTTAAAAAATAGATTCAATTCCCTCGAGGAGAAGAAGCTTCAAGACAAATTAATAGAAATGAGAAGTTTATCTAGCCTTTTTGAATAAAATCACAAAACATCTCCATCCAGGTGACAAAGGGAGCATACTCCACTTTCTTTCTTTTTTTCTTCCTAATTGGTACTCACACACTCCCCCTCCAAGGAAGTGTTTGCACCCAAGAGGAGTCGAACCTTAGATTTGATGCTTCCAGAGGCACCAGGGCGAAGTGACTTACCACTTGAGCCAACCCCTTGGGGTTCATGCTCCACATATTGTACCAAGTATGATTTGTATTTCTCGAGAGCAAGAGAGTTTTTACCAAATCACATGCCCAACAATACAAAAAGTTACTCAAACTTTCAATTGGTCCTATCTTGCCTTCCTTCTCATTACTCATCATGATCATATTAAAATGGTCTCTTACACACAGTAAAATTGGGTAAGGAAATAGAGATCTCCATAAAACCATCGGTAAATACAACATAAAGAAAAACCAGAAGCTAATAGTGTTTCACATCAACAATCAGGAACCAAAAACATCTATAAACACAAGATAAAAAATGAATGCTATTTCTATTTAAAAATAATTATTATCTGAATTCTAGCCAGGATTCATTAGTGATAATTCATATACAGAGAGAGATCAGAGTATCAAAATTGGGAAGATTGTTAGAAGGAACCGGTCATCGTCTCAGCTGAAAGAAGAGTAATACAGCAAAAAGCTCATGAAAACAAAACAACTACTTCTTGCAAGAAAGCCAAGTTTGGTTACTGAAAAAATACAGGAAAAGGTAAATAAATATTTATTTAGGTTTATAATTACATGAGACTCGAGCTCAGGGAAAAAGAATTTGATGAGACCTCATGTAACAAGACCTCTTCTGATCCCACAAAACAACATCAACCTAACATTCGAAATTATAATTTCCTTCTCAATTCCACCTCGATAGAGAAACATATCAGGATTAAAAACCCTAAAAACTTCATCGATAAAACAATCAATTCAGACCACCGCAAAGGCCAAATAATTTTCCCATCAAAATCCTAAAAACAGAATCGAGTTGATGATGACAAAACCAGATCAAACTGATGTAAAAAAAAAAAAAAAAAGGGACGAAATTGTATTGAGATCGAAATTTGCGGACCTGATTGTTGAGCTCTGGACTCCATGGAGATGAGATGAGGACAGGCGTCGCAACCTCTCGTGACGAAGAGAGAGGGAAAGAGGTAGTGAGAGGAACGGTCAGCCAGGTATATCCTCTCTCTATTCTATTGCAAAGCCCGAGACAAAGTGGTCGGTGTTCTTCTGCCCCGTCAATTTACAATTGTGCCCTTATCAAACGGATTTGTACCGTGTGACGGATTTGACAAGGGTTTGTTGCTTTTTGATAAAATTAATGCATAAAATTATAAAACTCTCTGCTACTTTCAAACTCTAATTATAAAATCTCAACATATTTTGCCCCAATATTCATGATCGAATAGGGTTATAAAATAACAAATTTAATATTATTATTTAATGTTAAATTAAAATTTAAAAATTAAAAAAATACCCTTTAAAATTACAAAAATTATGCCCTCCCTCCCTCTAAAACTCTCACCCTTTTTTCTTTATAACATAATTTTTGTAATTTTAAAGGATATTTTTGTAAATTTTGAAAATAATTTAACATTAAATAGTAAGATTGAATATGTCATTTCATAATCCGCAATGTGATCATTTTTAAAAAGTGTAGGGATTTTATAAAACAGGTTGGCGTTTTATGATCAAAATTTGAAAGTAGTGGAAGTTTTATAATTTTAACCCTAAAATTAAAATTTAAGTACTCAATTCTAAGTAGTCAATTCTAAGTACTGAATATATTGATATATAAACTTGTTTGATATTGCATTAATTTCAAATGCTGAATTCATTAAGATTATTTGTTAAATACAAAAGCTGAAAATTGAATATTGTATATATTATATTTTTGCTTTGAATATCTTCTACACATAATATTATTATAAAAGATATTATATTAAAACATAAACATATATATATAATAATTAATTTCACCAAAAAAATATATCAATTTAACAATGAATATTAATATCAAAACTGATTATAAAAATTTTAAAGGCAACACATAAAATGAATAACTTATAAAAATGAAATAATTATGAAAAGGATATTAGAATTAACGCATAAATTATTCAATTTTTATTTATATAGTATATTTGCATCACAATAATGGTGTGAGGGTTTCATTGCAATGAATCATGCAGTATATATTTCTGCGTAAAATTTTGACATGTTTTAAGGTATTTCTTAATATTTTAAGTGGTAACTTAAATGTTATCAAACACGCTAATTTAAAAAATTCACTTATTATGTTAAGCGTTGAATAACGATATCAAACACGTCAATAATAAATATTTTTTATTTGTAGGATGGATATGGAAAAAAAATTTATTCGCGGTTATGAATTTGGAATACGAGTGTCTCGTCCCGAGCTCAAATTGTTGATATCTCAAATTGCAATTGTAAGTCAAATGGTTGGGATCACCTTAAATCTCATAAAACATTCAAACCAAATTTCTGACCTATTTGGTGTTAGAATGAAAAAATGTTTTCCTTACTAAAGCGGTCAAAAATGTTAGTTGGATTGTTGGTGTCAGGGGTGCAATTTGGGCGGACTAACTCAGCCTAACTCAAACTCAGTCCAAAAATTTTAAAATTTGAGTTTTTAAACTCAAAAATGGGGCTCAAATTAAGTTGGATTTTCTTAAAACCCAGACATATTTGGGTTGGGCTTGGGCTCAACCCAAACCCAACCCAAAACTCAAAAAAAAAAATTTGTCTCCCTCCTCTCTCTTCTTTCTCTTTCTCTCTCTTCTTTTATTTTTCCCTTCATTTTTTTCTTCTTAAAGGCGAAGGAGGGAGAGATGTGATTATTATTATTATTTTTTTTTCAAAGGGGAAGAAAAAAATAAAATTTCACTTGTTGGCATAATAAAAATAAAAAAATCAATCATAATCAATCACTTGCGTTAAAATAATGGCATAAAATAAAATAAAATAAAATTTCAACTCGTTATTAATTTTGCAGTCAACCACATAGCGACTGGCTACAAAACCTCAAAAATCATGTGTCATATGACTCATGTACCTTTTTTTATCTTAGTAACACAATTCAAAAAAAAAAAAAAAACTCTCCATCTTCTTCGGTGTTCCGTCTTGGCAGTTAATATAAACTGAGCATTTGGCCCAAAATGTTCATTAATATAACGTTTGAGATGGGGATGTAACTTGGTGAGCCAACTCCAAAACATCTCGTATCCTATGAACATGTATACTAATTTTAAAAGCTAGAAAATACGACGTCAATTAATTGCACAAAATATTTTATTAATTGCAGAATCAATTCTTTAGTACAAAGTGTTGGAACTAAATTGCCTTTCAAAAAAATTTATTGAAATTAAATTATCCGAAGTGTTGAAAAAAAGAGAGGAGTTAATTAAATTTAATGTTGTAAGATGTAATTAGGTTATTTTTCCTTTAAAATGTATTCTAATTCAATCAATATATTTGAAAAATGATAAAAGATCAAATTCATATTATTAGACCGACGTGAATTGACGAAACCACTCAAGAAGAAAGGCGCTTACATACTATACTTGGTTGGCGTACCTATCCTACTTACTGTACGCGATATGAGGATGAAGAGTTGCTTTGTCGAATGGAAATAGTTCTCTCCCGGATATATATATATGAAAGCTTTGAACTCGATTTTTGCCTATAGAAGCGGTATAGTTTTTGAAAAGCTACCATACAACAGCATGGATAGTGTACGTCGAGGTAAAAGAGGGTGCCTGATGGCCTCACCACTCTCCAGTAATCACTGATTTTAAAACTTTGACTAGTGAAACTCATTCGACCAGTTCAAAATATTGATATTTAAAAAATAAAATTTTTTTAAAAATTTTTGATGTTTACAAACAAAAAAAAAAAAAAACACTTGTGAAACCCGCCCTACCCGTCCAAAATATTCGGGGCTGGGTTATGTTCATAACCCAATTTGGATAGAATTCAGGCTGGCCCAACCCAATCCAATTTGGAGTTGAGGTTGGGTTAGGACTGGACTGGGTTGGGTCAGCCCAACTTGCAGCCCTAATTGATGACACATTATATAAAATATTTTTCACAAATAAAATACTTTTTAACATATTTGGTAAAAATATTTGTTAAATTAATTTGTTACTAATTTTACATTAATGTATTTCAATAAAATGTTAAATTAATTTTGATAATAATAACTTTGTAAAAAAGGGGTGAAATTGTCGTTATTTAAAATAAAAAGATAAAATTGTTAGGAAAAATATTTATCTAAATATAAAACCTCTACTCGTGGATTAAAAAGAAAAAGGAAAAAGAAAACTTTTACTTAGAATGCAAAAATAACTGTATAAATCTTAGCTTCATTCAAAAACTATAATGAGCTCAAAATTAGTAACTATTTAAAGTATTTTTAATATCCTGCCTCCCTTGAGTTTGTCCATATATCCCCATGGAACTCGACTTTGGGCATTCCTGATACAGCCTTACGAGGGATTCAACACGCTCCGGAGTGTACTGGGCTTCAACTGTTGTCGTTCTCAATTTTTAGTAATTAAGCAAAGGAGCTCATACTAACAAAACCTTAGTCTGCAATTCCTATTATCAAAACAAGTGATCCTCTTCCATTAGAAAGAGAGAAAGAGACCCGAAGGTCTCTGTTCCGGGAAGATCCAGGTCGCCGAAAAGGCGACTAGTTATGCCTCATTGACGGCGACCTCATCTGTCGTTGGGTCGTTGTTAAGGCAACCTAGCTAACCCGTCTCCATTAGTGACCTAAAGGTCATTGTTGCTCCAGCTAGAACCAGGTCGCCGGAAAGGCGGCCTGGTAGCAACTTCCATGGCGACCAGCGTGGTTGTTGTGACTGAACCGTGACAAAAAAAACTATTTAGATTAAGGTGGCAAGCCAGCGGCTCTCCGACGATGATAGAGAGAAACTGCGACGAATATTGCAGATTTCGACAATAACGGCGACCTCCTCTTCTGTCGTTGGGTCGTTGTTAAGGCGACCTAACCCGTCTCCATTAGTGGCCTAAAGGTCGTTGTTGCTTTGGCAAAAACCAAGTCGCCGGAAAGGCGGTCTGGTAGCAGCTTCCATGGCGACCAGCGTGGTTGTCGTGACCGAACCGTGATGAAAAACCAGTAAGATTAAGGTGGCAAGCCAGCTAGGCTCCGACGATGACAGAGAGAAACAACGACGAAGGCGACGGATATTGAAAATTTCAACGACGACGCGGAGACGCTTGCAATGGTGGCGGTGATTAGGGAGAGGAGGGAGAAGAAGATAAAAAGATTGATTCATTCGAGGATAGTATATTTACTCTTACAATTTAGTGGGTTGAACCTTACAAAGGAGATATATGGACAAAAATATGAGGAGAGGTGGGGGTATGTAAGTGGGCAAGTCATAGCTGCTACCACATTGGTAGGTTATAGAGTGTCATGATCTCATATCACTTGAGAAAGGTGAAATGTTATATGTAAGGTTCAACACCCTTCTATGACACAATACATTTTAAAGCGTGATGATTGTGAACTCATCAAAACTCCAAGATTAAGTATGCTTACTCTGGAGTAGTACCTAGGTGACCCCATGTGAAGTCTTTAGTCTGGGGAGTCAAAAGCAGACAAAATTATGTCCGGAAGGGCGATGGTTGTTAAAATGGTATCAAAGCCGGAGCCAAGCCAAGCCGTAATTGTGACCCCATGGGGTGATTGTGATGACCTCTATGGGCCACTCCGAGACATTGGATGAGCTACCACACTAGCAGATTACAAGGTGTCATGATCCCACGTCACCTTAAAAAGGTAAAATGTCATGTGTAAGGTTCAATACCCTTCTATAATACAATGTATTTTAAAGCCGTGATGACCGTGAACCGATCATAACTCCAAGGTCGAGTGAACATGAATTAGTGGCAATGGGATTTTAAGAGGTCAGGGTCCAGATGATGGTGAAATATATCCAGCTTTTGGTGAAGTGAAAACCCCTTCTGGTAAGAGTCTGCCACTAGAGGTTCAGAATCCCACAGAAAAGGGGCACATGACACCTAAAAACTGAGTAATACTTCTAGTACTTAAATACCACATTAGGATTGTAATAATTTCTGCTGTGATTTGATGCAGTTTTCATGATGCAGTATAATAGATTGTTTGGCCTCACTGATACAAATGATTATAACTGATCTGAGTTACA